CGTTCATGTAGGATTTTTCTTGAAAATGTAAGCTTTTATCGGTGGTTCTGTCATTTGAAAGTTATGCATATAGCCTATAGGTGCAATGCTTCCAGCTAGTCTTAGGCTGTCAATGCTTATTATTTGTTGCCATATATGATTTTCTGGGTTGTCTTGGATTTATGCAATGCTTGAGAGGGCACAGTGAACACCGTTCCCGGAGTTATGCGAGTTCTGACAATGGGGGTTATCATCTTTTGTTTCCTACATTAAGATAGGATAAGCCAATGCCCTTATTGGGACTGGGACCATCAGATGCTTTAACGGAGGTACTTTTCATACTTCCCAAACAAAACCGAATTCATCTATTTGAGACCGTTGTCAGATTTATTACTTCGATTTTTTGTATTTTCGATAATTTGCTTATTTCACGAGGAACATGCTCGGGTATAACTTAAAAACAATGCATAGAAGGCTAAACTCATTTGTCACAGAGTGCTAAACTCGTGTTTGAAAACAATGCAATTAACACCATGCAGTTCTTCTATGTTTGCTATTAATTTGAACCGTGTATGCTAATTTTTGGAGCAATTATTTTGGACCTGGAACTGGAAAATAGAAGATGGAAGCCAAAAACCAGCGTTGTTCCTCTTAATTTCAAGCTGCACTAGACTCAGAAAGTCCCCCGTCTTCACTCAACCTACACCTTTTTGTCTAAGCTTCGAGAAGTACTTGTCGAAAGGGCACTCAAAGATTGAAAAGGTGACGAAGGCGGGTTCGAGCTCCTCTCATCTCTTTGTATTCCTCACAGGGAATTTTTTCTCTTTGCATGAAAGCTTTGCTTTATTAGAAAGAGAAAGAGAAAGAGAAAGAGAAATTGAGAGAAAAGGCATATGTTAAAAAAAATAAGTCAAAAGTTGATGAATTTTTGTTCAACATGGTGAAAAGGTGATAAAGAAATCGGTTTAACATGTCATGTTAGTATTTCGTGACCCACATTAACGGATGTTAACAATGAATGATCAATTTATTATAAATCAATAAAATTAGTGATTGATTTATTATAAAATGATAATATTAGTGATCAATTCATTATTTTTAAAATTTTAATGGAGAAAGCGAAAATTTACTCAAACTTTAATGAATATGTGTAGTTTACTTTTTTTTTTAAAAACAAAATATTTCGTAAATTTTATATGAAAATTTATTGAAAATGAAAATGATATAGCTTTAAAAATATTATTTTACATTAATTTTAAAAAGTTTGATATTGTAATCTAAACTTTTTGACTTTGTCACTATCGATACTCCGAAACAAGGTATTGACACAAAATGTCCAACACTGGAAATATGTTATTTGATGTATGAAGTATGTTTGTTTTGTTCACATGCCCTTAATACTTTGATTTGTTTACAAAACGGTCTCTATATTCCATAAATTTAGCCATGGGACGAAGCATAGCTTTGTTCCTGGGTCCAACACAACTCTAATATCTGAATAGAGTACTTCTTATCTGATTTAAAACTAAGATCAGATAAGAGTGACACGAATTTTCGATAATTTTGGGCATTTAAGTTTTCATATATAATCTAATCCTACATTGTTGGTGTATTAATTATTCATGGTAGAAAATGAAGTACAACTTTACAAGTAAATTTAGCATTGCAGTTTGTAGAATCCTACGTTACTAAAGGAAATATAATATATATAATATCCTCCCAACATGATTGATTTTGACAATTGACTAGGTTGATTAATAAATGACTTATAATTAGGGGTGTGTAAATTCGGGGCGGATATTTGATTTTTGGGTATCGAAATTTTTGGGTCGATGATTTCTCGACCCGTGTCTCGACCCGGATGTTACGAATATCCGGTAATCGGGTACTCGATACTCAGTTTTTAATTTTTAATTTTTAAATTATTAATTTAAAAAATATATATACACAAATTGTTCAAAACTTCGAATTACATACTCTAATATCCGAACATAAAATTTAAAAGTTCGAAATACAAAATATAATAATCCATAATATAAATAATTCATTATATTTTATATAATTATATATAAAAAATAAAAAATAAAAACTAACCGGGTACTCGGGTAATCGGATACCCGGAAAAACTAGATTTTGTGACCCGGGCCCGACCCGGGAAATGTCGGGCCGAATAATTTTTTTTAGAGAATTACCCGGTTTTTTTAGATCCGGGTCGGCGGGTCGACGGGTCGGGTCAACCGGGTCGAGTAATTTTGCACACCCTACTTATAATTGGTTATTTATTACGTTTATTAATAATAACGATTATTATTACAATAATGATAGACACTTGGGATATTTAATAAAAAAATTCATCTGATTTTATGTTACTTTTGGACCGGTTGACTCTTCAACGACACCCACAAGCCCATGGTTTTTGTTTTGTGGGACGCCCAAGTCTAGGCCAGCCCATGTGTTAGGAAATCGTAAAGTTGAGATAGGCTAGTTCATGAATAAGTTGGGAACCAACTAAATGTCCCACATCATACAGGGAAGAAGAAAACTAACGGTTTATAATAATCAAGCAGCCTCCGTATTGTGTCCCTTCGGGGACATCCGATAAAATTGGAACGATACAGAGAAGATTAGCATGGCCCCTGCGCAAGGATGACACGCACAAATCGAGAAATGGTCCAAATTTTTTTTCTCCCCTGAAGTTTTACAGGTTTGATTCCATCGAATTACAATCTGGGTTGGTTTTTTCTCAAATCTCTTGAACTGTGAGTATCTCGATATTCACTACTTAGGAATTTGAGATAGTTTGCTGAATTAGCATCTGGGTTTTTCATTGTAGGTTCATAATAATTATATAAATCTGATAGGTGGTAATTTGTAGTGAATATTAATTACTTCTGTTTCGCTATGTTTAAAGGATCTGTCATAGATGATTTCTTTGATTTCTTTAGAAATGGGTTGTGGAATCATTTTTTTTAATTGAAGAGAAAACAATAGCTAAAAGCTTTACATCAAGTGTTGTTTATCAAAATCTAAAAATTGCAGTAGGGTCGTAGGAGGCTCCTCATAAACTCGTACGTTGTGGTCTTGGAAATTGTCAAGTTTAGTTATTTTATCAGCAGATTTGGTACCCTCACATGGAGTCCAAGAAAAACGTGTCACCCAACTTTTGCGGCGAAGCCATCAATTGCACGAACAAGGGAATTAGAGCTCATTCTAGCATTAGGATCATGAAGCAGCTGGACAGCCTCTTCATTATCAGTTTGAATGATAAGTCTCTCAAATCCATAGCTCCAAGCAAGTTGTAAACCAATGAGGATTGCCCACAATTCAGCCTGCAGAGGTTGTGTGCCTATCCTTTTATTGAACCCCAAGATCCAAGAACTTTCATGGTCACGAAAGATGCCGCCAATAGAGCCAATACCAGTACCTGAGGAGACGGCCCCATCTGTGTTTAAACATATCCAGCCCTCAGAAGGGTGCTGCCAATAAGCAGGAGCAGCGATGGGATCCCGGGTGAACTCACGAGACTATGGATTTCATAGCAGTAGCGCGCCCAGATGATGCCTCTAGTAGCAATAGAATCAGGAGAGGAACCAATAGTCAAGACTAGTCTTAAAAAAATTATGAATGAGAGAAGAAGGAAGAACCTTCATCCAGACCGCTTGCGCACATCGACAATCCCTTACGGTGTGAACGGTTGTCTCCATGGCTGCAAAACAAGATGGGAAATGAGGATGCTGGGCAATAGAGCGACAACAACCTCAGCATTTGTCATTGATCGCTGCTTAAAAGCCATCCATAGAAACAAACGCAGGCGTTGGGGGACATGAAGTTTCCAAACCAAGTTCCAGATGGGCAGCTTTGGATCCCAGAGATTTGCAGTCATATTTGAATAAGTTGATTTAATGTCGAAGGAAAACTTGTGGTTCAAAGCCAAATCGGTTTATCAGGTTCATCATTTGGATCCGGACATTTGATGCCAAGGATACGGGGGATGGCTTCTGATGTGAAGAAGGTGGCAACTTAGTAATATCCCAGCTACATGTGTTGTCCATGAGGCCTGTTTTAATTATCAAATTATAAGCTGCAAGGTATACTTTTATGTATGCTAATATTCAATCTGTTGTGTAGAAATTGGACTTGTCTTTTGTATCTCTTTTCATAGCCTAACTGCATGGATTTGCTTGTTTTACCCTGTTACAAAATTTGATGTCCATAAATTAGTTTTGAGACGTGTTTTGAATTTGAAGAAGAAAAAACAACTTTGCTGACAAATTACAATTAGAAATTATGAAAGCAAAGGAAGCTAAGGGACTAAGATCCAATGCGAGTAGATTTGAGAAGAAATCAAATGAAAATCCATTTGTGAAGCAAAACTGGAAGGGGAAAAAACACAACACTTAACTTAGTTTGGTACTGTTGATACAGGTATTGAAGAAGGTTTCTCTACTCCTTACGAACAAAATACAACTTGACCATGACATGGAGAATGGCAACAAAAGCAATGAAACCAATGCTCATGACAAGCACCACATTTGGGGAGATCTTGAGTCCTGCAGCATCATCTGTGTAAAACTGAAGCATTGTGCCAGCAGCTCCTCCCGAGGCACCAGCACCGCTCGTCATTCTCCTCCTCCGCATGTTTGCAGCTGCTGCTGCACTTCCTCTTGGTGGTGCTGTTCCAGTTGCCATTTCTGTAGCAACCAACTTCGGTTCTCAATACTAGATAAACATATAGAAAAATAGTGTTTCCGAATTCAGCATTTCCATTATACTTTTGAACACAATTATTTATCACATGTACTATTTTCGCTGGACTCAAAATTGAGTTTCAGATACAAGTTTGTGAGCAGGAACAAAAGAAAGTTTCAAAAAAGACCAGATGAGATAAATAAATAAATAAATAAATAATTTTTTTAGAGGTGGCTAAGATACCCAAACCTCACAAAGCTCCATTACGATTTAATCAATAAAATTAAAATCAGAGTTCATATTAAATTGTGAAGAAACAATATATAATCAATTCAAAGCAATCGAAATTTGACCGTCGAGTTATACAACACATCAATGAACCCAATCAGTTTCACTACCCGTAAGTTTTTAATCCCCGAAAGGGCCTTCAAAGCCAAATCCCCGCCACAATGTAGCTCCAATTCTTGCAATGTGGAACACTCCTCCGCTATTCTTAACAATCCTTGTTCGCTTGCACCAATCGCTACTAATCTCTGTAAATTCGGGTACTTTTCGGCTACCGTTGCAAGCCCTCCGTCGATTTCATTCAACGGCAACAACGCCGTTTCTTCGAGAAGTCCGTCGAGAGTAAAACCAGTATCAACATGAACCGACATAATTGTGTTGGTTAATATAGTGCTGGAACACCTTGACATCCCAATACACGAACGGACCAGGTCTAAATCGGTTAGATTGGGGAACCGGATAAATACCCGACCCGAAGTAACAAACGACCAATCTGTAACTTTAAGGGACTGCAACAGCCGGCCGTGGAGGTACAAACAGCGTTTCCAGACCAAGGAATTGGAGACATGTTGAGAGATGGGAAGCTTGGAGAAAACGTTGAGGAGGAGTTCGTCGGAGAGGAGGGAGGTGTAATCTGGTGCGGTGCGGTCGAAGGAAAGTGGGTGAAAGGATGTTAAATCAGGCTCCGATGGTGGAGAAGTTGATGGAGAGGTGTTGGTGGTGAGAGGACGGTGGAAATATTGGTGCATCTTGGCTTGTGAATAACATGCTTTAGTGTTTGGTCTCTGAAACTAAATGTTTGGTATTGAAGAACTTATTAAGCAAATTGGTGTCCTCGTGGCTTTAAGTTAGAAGATCTTAAGTTAATGAGGGTGGATGAAGTTAGAACTAGGGTTTGTCTTGTGTGGATTTGGTGGATTCTGGTGAATATGACATTTCTGTAAGAGTCAGGGCGAATACATCCCATTATTTAAGGGAAAAAAATAAAATTTAGTATAATATATTAAAGAAAAATAGAAAGAATAAAATTTTTTGCACCCTCATTATTTTTTAAAAAAAAATTAAAATTTTAGACCAATTTATAAATTTCTGAATCTGCGGGTAAAAAAAAACAGAGTCAAAACATAAATTTGAATCTAACTAATCTTAAGAAACATTTTTGTATTTTGTAATTATTACCATAATAATTGCCTGGTGGTGTACTTTAAAATTTGTCGCTTGTAACCTGTGGTTCATAAGAAACCCAGCCTTATTTGTGGATAAAATCCAAATCCATGCAATTACGACACTGGGTATAATTTGCAGCTTTTACATGCAAAAACAAAAACGCAATCAAATAGTTTAAGTTGAAGAGCTCAACCAAAGTTCCCAACTTGAGAAGATAATCCTTTCGGGACCAACAGAAATTGGCAAACTCTAATCCGGCATGTTTTCCGTGAACCGAATTATGGTGCACACTTTATGCCCAAACCATGCAATCTGTAGGAAGCACTTAGGTTTGTTATATGCACCTACTTTTATTATAAAACAATAATGCACCATTTATTTCCCATGGACAAATGCAATGAAAATATACTTTGAAATTTTCATCTGTTTTCCTAATATTAAAAAAACATTTGAAAATTATCGGGTTAAGGCTGTTGAGATGGTGTTTGTTTGTCAAGAGAGCACCACTTCCCCTGTACACATGCATGTTCTGCTAATTTGTGCAGCGGGTGATGTTGGGCCAATGTTTGTAAGGTTGGGCCTAGCTAGCCAAGTTCTATCGGTCTCAGTTGTAGCAAATTTCATTCAGGCTTTCACTCCCAAGAAGCCGCACATTGTGAATCTTAATCAGGGTGTTCAAAAACATCTAATCTGGATTATTTTACTAATTGATAATAAAATTATCAAATATTTATAATGAACACTTCGACTCTTATGCTACATTCAGCTCGGTTTTTAATTTTTTTTAAACAGTTTATGATAACTTAACCTCAGTTGTCAATTTTTTTAATATTAATTTTAGGTTTAAATTCTATATTTTGTATTGATATTTTTTTAATAAAATTTTAAATTTTTTTTATAAATATATTTTTAGAAATTAAATTTCCAAGTAAATTAAATTCTATATTTTGTATTGATAGTTAAATATTTTCATATTGTAAAAATAAAAGTAAATTATAATAAAATAAAATATAGAATTTAATTCAAATAATCATAATTTTCAAAGTCACAAATAATAAATTATTATTTAAATTGATTTTGATTAATAGATTTTGTCGTCCTCTCCCTATCCCTGATGAATCCTATGAGCTGAGTTTTCTAATAAATGGTGGTCCATACAAGATTTGGAGTCGAATGTTGATACCAGGGGCGGACCTCCATGGAGCCCGGGGTATCCCGGGCAACCCCTCATCCAGGGGTGGACCTCCATGGTGCCCGGGGTATCCCAAGCAAACCCTCCACAAGTGTCACCCTTAATCCAAGTGTCAACCCTCAAAAGTACCACCTCTGGGACTCTTACAACCCCTGAAGTGGCTCCTGGGTCCGCCTCTGGTTGATACTGTTTTTTGGTCATGGAAGTGTCGGTTCAACAAAACATATTCCAACTCTTTGATAAATAAATTAAACACAAAACAACGTCAAGGGGTTATTTGTACTTGGAAGTTCATAGTTAGCCTCAAATTTTGGTAAGATATTGCTCTGGTGGACCAAATGATACCTAAATTTCATTATATTCCTACAATCTCAAACTCTTAACCTTAATTAATATGTACACTTAAATGTATTCAAACTCACAATATTTACAAATTATCACTTGAGTTATAATTTAATATTTACAAATTATATGATTTTTATTTGGTAAGATATTTTTATTTACAACTTTGCATATTTTTCATACATTATAATTTATAAATCAACAGAGAGATGTTCATCGCTAAGGATTGACATTTATTGATAAACAAAAAAGGATTGACATTGAGATGTGAACACTTAAATCGTTGACAACTTTATTTGGTGTACTCGTATAGTTTTCGAAATTTAGGATTTCATTTGATATTAGTTTAAAATTGTTTTTTTTTCATAAACCTATTAAATAATCTCAACAGTTAAAAGAAATAGTATTCTCTTTATAAATCTTAAGTTTAAGCAATTGTATATGTGAATGTGTATTGTCAATGACTAAAAATATATTCTAAATAATTTCTACCTTACAATCATCATAAATTATTAAAAAAAACGTTTTTTCTTTACTTTAATATTATATTTTTTGATTTTGATGTTGAGAATCTAATCAATAGTGATTTATTATGATTCCAATATTTTAGGGTTTGGCCGCTTGCATATGTACAAAATATTTTATATACAGTATTGAATTGGTATAATAATACATAATGGTTGTATTTCCTTACCACCACTTATTAGTGAACATGTCATCATTGATATTTTCAGATACACTTTGAATTTCTAAAATACATTCATATCCTTAACAAATATACCAATTGAAGGATAAGGTGAATTTAGTGTCGGCATGCTTCAAGTAATGTGCAAAATATGTCTAAATTATATTTATTTTTTTACTTTATGCGACCAATTTTTTTTATTAAAATAAGTGTTTCTTATTTTATTATCATTTTACAGTTAATTATTAGTGCTAATAAAATAAAATATGTTATCCAACAATTATATGACATAATATATAATTTGATTTTTAATTTTTTTTTATAATTTTTAAAAATAAAAATGTTTCGATTTTCTAAAACACCTAAAAGCCCTAAATTCGGAAAAAATAACTTTGAAATCTCTAATCTCCCAAACACATTCTATTACGGATGAATCATCCATCATTGCACAAAATTCTTAATCCCTAATTTGTTAAATTTATTTAGATAGTTGTAAGTTAAAGTGATGTGATCTGTCGATTTAATTCAGGTAACATTGTAGGTTCGTTGTCAACAACAAACCAATGGGTGAATGACTGAACAAAATTTAAAGGGATTTAAGATGGTAAGAGAGAGATTGATCAACGAGACTCTGACAATGGAAGACATAAACAATGGTGGTTTATTTGATGGTCCAAGGTTCATCAACGATGATGAACCAAAAAGGGAGATTTTGGGATCTTAGGATTAGTAATTTAGGAGTTTCATGATATTTTTTTAGGAATTTAGGGATTTAAAAGATTTTAAAAAGTATAATTAGAATAAATATTTTATCACTTTTTATATATTTATTAGATGACATATTTTTTTTACAAACATTGATAGTTAGACATTAAATATTAGAGGAACACCACTAAAAATCTAGTTGATTTAGTGAGATAAAGTATTAGGTCCTTTAAGTAAAGTCAAAAGTTTAAGCATTAATATTGTGAATGAGATAACTGGGACGGAAAGTCACTAATCTGAATTAGTTAATTAATGGAAAAGCCAGTGCACATGGGTAGCACAGGAGGAGTTCAGTTGGAGACTTGAGTCTTCAAAATAGCTACCAAAAGAAAAGCCAGTGCAATTGTGTAAACACACGAGTCTTACTTGTGGATTTCAAAGAAACAGCTATACTAATAAATGCCGTCTTGTTTTTATGGGTTCAAACCTTGACAACACGAAGCTGCTCTTATCATTCGTTGCCCATCCTTTGCCTTCATCGCCCTGTCGGTCACCTCTTCTGTATTTGACCAAAGGATACACAAAACTCATCAAGCTTAGCTGCTCTGTCTTTACTCTCAACCGCGGCTTCATATGGCGGAATCATTAACTCTAATTATACCTATAATAATCTTGGCTTCCACCCACCTTCCAAAATCACCCAACCTAATTTCATCTGTCTTTCTTTATTCACTGTCCCATCTTTCTTTACATTACCAACTCAATCCCACTATATATCCCTCATTAAACCTCACAGAATGTGTATCCCTTCATGTTTTCGTTTTTAAGAGTTCACACCCTGTGTCTTTTTCAACTCAAAGAAATGACTGCATCTTCCCTTACAACCTCTCCAAGAAAGCTTCGATCAGATCTTTACTCTTACTCCTATCAGAACGATGCAAACACCCCATTGGTGATCTCAGTCCTGGCTTCTCTCATCGAGAGAACAATGGCCAGAAACCAAAGGGTTTCCAACAACTGTAAATGGGCATTCACAAAAGATTTCAGAAGCAGAGTTTTCCATTGCCACCAGACACCAGACATGACAATTCAATCCTACCTAGAAAGGATCTTCAAGTACACCAAAGCCGGACCATCCATTTATGTAGTCGCATACGTATATATCGATCGCTTTTGCCAAGCAAATCCATGGTTTCGTATCGATGCAAGAAACGTACACAGGCTTCTCATAACCATCATCATGGTCGCTTCCAAGTGTGTTGAAGACACGTGAGTGCTTTTTTTCCCTCTTCTCTTGTAAAAGTATCTTTTTACAGTACAATGCTCTAATGGTATTGGTGTTTCGTGTGGAGCAGGAACTACAGGAATTCGTACTTTGCTCGAGTAGGGGGATTGACAAAAAAGGAACTAAATAAGTTGGAGGTTGAATTTTTATTCTTGATAGATTTCAAGTTACATGTGAATGTGAGTGTGTTCGAGAGTTATTGTAGTCACTTGGAGAGGGAAGTGAGCATTGGAGGAGGATACCACATCGAGAAGACTCTATGATGTGCTGAAGAAATCAAATCAAGACAGGTTAAAGAAACAAGACACAACTCCATTGCTCGTATTTTGTTGTAATAATTACATCATCCAGGGAATTTTCGTTCTCCCCATTCTGGTTTTGCAATGGTGTTATGACTTGCGGAGTAGTCATTCTCTGTTTTTTTATTTTATTTTTTATTTTGTAAAGATTTGATGTATATATGTGATGGTCTGTCTGAAGTTACAATAAAGACTAGTTATAAATACAAAAATATATCCGTATAATTACGAGTATAAACTGTTAAACAATTGAAATATGTTAAGACCTATACCAATGAAACAAATGAGTGAAAGAGTAGAATACAGAAACATTAATGTACATTTGAAGTTGTTAAGGCTAATGTAGCTGTCAACTTCTGAGTAGTTTAAACTTAAAGCAGAAAATGACATGTTCATTGATGTAATAAAATGCAGTTAGTTAAAACTGGGATGAAGAACATTAAATTTATGTAACAAAGCTATACTCTTTATTTAAAGCAAAAGGTAAAGCCTCCATCACAAACTGCAATTAAAATCATGAAGCGATTAGCCCACTTGTTCAGCATATAAACATGAGGCAAATAATGCTTAACAATTAATCATTGAGATGCTGCAGTAGGTTAAAAGAGTTAGTCCACTAACGAATAACGATGGTGATGTACGGCCTTAATTCCCCCAGCAAAGACATATCTTTTCCCATTTTTTTCTCTCAATATTGTTGGGTTATAGGGTTTGGCATTGAGACAAAAAATGGTGGCCATTTTGCATATAAAAAGAAAGTAATCATCTTTCCGAAATTATTAATAATATAATGTATCACGAGCAGGATTTTAGAGATAGACAAAAGGTAGGTTTGGTTTGTAGAAAACGACAGTGACATGAGTTAAAAGGAAGGCGGCAATGTCTCCACTCTCTACGCAGTTTGGGCACTAACATGAGAATGAAGGCCTTTGCACTAAATACCAAGCTGAAGGGCTCTGGACCTTTCAGGCCCTAAATCGGTTTCTGTTACCATTTGATTGGGCTCTCAACTCTGAAACATTCAACAGATAATCAATGTATCAACATACACAAGATGCCGCTTGGGTCCAGTGTCTTTTTAAATAAAATTTTTAGTTTGAATACTCATAATTATATTTAATTTAATTTTTTATTCAAATCTGAAATAATTAATATTAGTATGATTATTAAATATAAAAATATCTTTTACCCAAAAAAGGAGGATTGGAAAAGTTAATATTAGATTTTTTTTATAGTTTTGATTACATGCACCTTTGAACTCAAATTATCATTTTCTTTCAAACGATTACCCTGAACCCTATCAACACTAACCCTTGGTTTTGGACTTTTTTCCTTCTTTCTTATCAAACATTAGACTTCATTTTTAAGTAACTATTAGTTTTAAAATTAAGTAAACTAAATATTGGTTCTCTATTTGTTAAGTATATTTACATTTTATAATTTTATCAGTTTTTTAAACAGTTTGAGGTGATTATAAGGTATTATGTATTCAATTCTTTTTAATTTGTTGACAACACACCATACAGACACATCTACTCAAATTCAAGTCCTTTAAATAGAATAATATTATCTTTTACTATTAAGACCACTTAATAAGTTTGATTCTTACTACTTTTAAAATTAGATAAATTAAGTCACAATTAATTGTTTTTTAGGTTTTAATTAGTTTTTATGTCCTTGTAAACTTTGAAATTAGACAAATTAAGTTTTGGACACCATTTTTTAATTGAAATACTTTTTAGATCTTGGTTAGTTATGGAATTAGACTCTAATCCTAAGCCAAACCCACATTTTATTAATTTTTATATTTAAACCTTAATATTTAATCCTAATTTTGCTCTTATAATAGACATTATATAAATAAAACTATAAACACATTATGTAGGTTTAAAAAGCATATTTTCCTTGGAAACCTATTGATGAACGATCGAAGAAGAAACATAGTAAATTAGCTTAGATCCTTTTTACCTTTGTGTACTAAAAAAAAGCCTATTTCCCTTCAAAAATATAAATGGAAGAAAAAAACATCTGTCGCACTTACTTCTCATTTGATAGTTATCACAAATTTTTTGCGTCAACTGAAGCGGTGGCGGCTTTCCGTAGCCACTTCTACGTCATTTCTATCCTTCTTTTTTTTTCAGTTGATTGTTGTCAAATTCAAATTCATTCATTGTCACCACCCTTTTTTTCCTTTAAAAGATAAATTGTAAAATTTATAACCCAATTTTAATACTACTCTTATTTTAGTTTTTAAATTTTGAAAGTTTTCAATTTGATCTATTAATTGTAAAGATTGATTTTTTTCTATTATGTCATAAAAGTTGTGATGACATGATAATTTACATCAAAATGACATTGTTTTGAATCTTTACGAAAAGTTACATTTACGTCAAAACATCATTTTGGGTCCATAAAAATCTTTTTTTCCTTTTTTTCTTATTTCTTTCTCATTCTCCTTTTCTCCTCTTCTTCTTAAACCAACATGGATTCCAACCATCGCGTTGGCTATTTTTTCAACCATAGTTTATCATCTTCTATGGCAACCAATGAATCTCAAAATTTCTTATTACACTTATTTCGTCCTCATAAACGTGATCTTAGTGTCTGTTAAATTGAAAAACACTCTAAAATCCACAAATCTGACATTGAACGCTTAGATTTCGTATATCTTCATTCTCCATCATCTATTAATTGTTTGGATAGAATCCAAATATAAATGTGTTGCTCCTTGTTTTAAAATTTATTTTTGTTTTAAAAAAGATTCAAATAATTTTTTAAAAAAATTTTAGACTTAATAAAAAAAATTAATATTTTAAGAGGAGACTTAATGTAAAATATTTTAAAAATCTAAAATATAATAAGATTTTTTAAATTGTTGAGAGGGCCAAATTAGAATTTTTAAAATTTTGAGGGGGTAAATGTTGGTTTTTCAAAATTTTGGGGCAGGTCCCAATTACGGTTGCCCTCGTTCAAGTACTATATTCGACATTTCAATAAAAAAAAATATAAGTATCAGCTTGAACATTCTAAAAGTATACATATATATATCACATTAGACGTTTTATTAAAATAAAATTATCATATTTAATATTTCTTGGGAAGGACGCGAGATCTTATGTTAGAGAAACGAACTTATAAAATTATAGGGAGGGAACAAGGATGGATCGAAGGGGGCAAATCTTTTTTATATATATATTTTCTATTGAAAATTTATTTTAGTCCCTTAAAATTTTATAAATTCATCCCATAATATTAAATTATGTGTCCATCTCCAGAGAGAACAAACTTCTAAAATTCTAGAGAATGAAGACAAATTTTAAATATAAAAAATACAAAGAAAATATATAAAATATATTATCATTTTAAATTTTTAAGTAACGATTATTCTCACTCATTCCCTCCCCTTGATTTATTAATATTTTATCAAAGTACATAGTAGACATTTTAAAATATAAATATTATATTATATACTTTGTAAAAGTAATTAGTTACCAAATATGATATTAGTCCAAAATTCCGTTGAAGTTGAATAAGCCTTCTTGTGGTGTAATTCAAACTTGGAATTCGCCCCACCTTTGAAAATCAGCGAGCCTATTTCTTGTTGTAAAATCCATGGCTTGTGTGTGACTACACTAAATTCCCAGCGACAAGTATACAACATAGCTCACGAGTTACATCAACATCTCATGATTTTGATAATCAGTATCTTGAAAATTTATTTATTTATTTTCATGTGATCTCTGATCGTATAATATACTTTTTTACTCATTCTTGGGACGAAACTTTCCCATCATTACGACACCAGGGAATGCGTCCAAATCTAATACTACGTTTATCACTAAGATTTGTCATCGTTAAGTTTATCCTAAAGAAATCCAAGTATACACTACGAGCATGCATGGAAGTTACTTGTATGACTCGTATCTGTAAGGAGAAAACAACAGTTGAATTGCCCTACGTTAGAACATGAATGAATGGTCAATTAATTATCACAAGTGTCTTGTTTTTGTCCATCTAAATCAAACCAACCAACTTTAGTTTGGTATTCTAAGATTATGATTTAAATGCAGTGTTTAAAGAGTTTAGCCTGTAATATTATTAAGGTTTAATTGCAATTGTGGATTCCAAAGTATGGTAAGCTTGAAATGCATATATCAATTTCAGTGATTATCAGATCCAAAACATGATCTGATAGCAGTTTCGAGATGATGTTGGGGCGATGGTCGATGAAAACATTACGCATGTCACATGGGAAGTCAGCCAATTGGACAAGCAATAGGACAGGGACCGAGTGTTTCAAGCCCTAAGAAAACGGCATTTACTGCCCGTATAGAAATCAATTTTCCCAGTGACAAGTTAGTTATTGTTTCCTGCCCATTTCCCCCACTCTTCATTTCGATATGACATTTCAACAAAATTAATGGAAAGTTTACCCCGAACACAGTTGACATTAATTCTGAATTAGATTAATATTATTTTAATCATTATATAAATTTATATTTAATGCATGAATACGATAAACCTAGTAATTTTGCATCGTTAATAATAAAGTCGTTAATTCAAACACAGTATATAAAACTATATGTGATGGAAATAACCAACAAGGGCGATCCGCCTCCAACACTGACAGTGCTGGATTCATATTGCGGTTCATCGTTACATCAAACTCAGCGGAGACAGTTCTGTTTTGACATCGTACAAGCAGTTCCAAATTGAAGAGCCACCGGTTTTCATTCCTGGAATCTCCTCTCTTTTTTCCTGTTAATAAACCAGTTCTTTTGTAGTGGTAAGAAAAGGCAGTTTCGGCATGTGATGATTTACATAAACGGGCAAAGTATTCGCATGTTACGTGTCGCTCTTTCTCCCTTCATGCATACGCTTTCATTAAATCATTATTTATTCATATTTTCCCTTTAACAGAGTAAATTACCCTTTTAATTTAAAAAAACTTATTTTCCATATATATTTTTATTATTATTTTGAGATTTTCGTTGTGTCTGTGTATAGGTACGTATGGATGAATGCTAGTCACCTACTTTATTTTCTTCTTTTAAACTCTCCGCCTCAAGAAAAACTCACAGCCTTCACTTTCAGACATA